AGGATAAGCGTTACGCAGTGGCGAAAACAAGGGATGAATAAAATTTGACATGGAAATTTAATCTTTTAAGAGTCATGTATCGAAACTGCTTTTCTCGCTATGACGATGTCCCCTGAGACACGGAAGAGAAAACTACAGAAATACCCATGCATAACTTGATGTCTACTCTGTTTCCACGATGTACTGAACAAACAGCTTCTTCTCCCAATGACGTTGCAATGTTTGCTGGAGACGGCGGAGAGGAAGTTGTGGGGTGGAGAGACGGTGGGCAAGGAACACTCTGCACCTATATTACAAATGGTTGGGTCCGCACTTGGCGAAAAAAATACTGTTGGTATTGAGCTGCTCCATGCAACAATCTAATTTTGAAACATTGTGTTGGAGAAGTGCCAGTAAATTACCGTAACGGCGTGTCATAAGCGAAATGTGTATGAAGTGAAATCAATGGCTTTAATAAAAATCGAGCGTTTTGCGTCTATGTCCCCGTTTCTTCACGGACTTAGTTTTTTGAAAGGCATTCGCGTCAGCAGTATATATGTTGAGCGGTGTTGTGTTGGTCGTTATATCGGATCAGATGGTTAAATATTCTTGCAGATATGTTTTCGCCAAGTGTACCGTTGTATATATCAAGCCCCGTATCCCAAGCATTAAATTTTACTGGTGTTCTTGTCAAAAGATTCATTTTTTAAAAATTTTTCTAGGATGTTCTGTTCTGTTTTGTTGGGCGATGAAGAAATACTTTATTGTAGGAACTAATGAATTACGAGCAGCCTTAATGGTAGTTGCATACACTTTTTAACTAGAGCTTATGCTTAAAAAAATTTTCTCAGAAGCATAGACTGTCAGATATTTAATTTTTTCCTTTTTAATGACTGCAAGTTTTTTCTGTTAATTACTTCATTGAAAAACAAGCTTTATATTTGACTTTTGGGGGTTCATTTGCAGGGGGATGTCATTTACGTTTTGATTTACCTTTATCTACTATTTATCATTCACTCTATTCCCTTCTACTTTTCGCTCTTTATTATATACTCCAAAGAAATCAGCTGGAAACAAAAATTTGCACCGGTGATTTCAACAGTCGGTTATTTATTAGATAAGGTGCAAGTCTCTGCTGGCAGCATTTGAAAGAGAAAAAAAGCAGGCTTCATTCAGAATCTGTTCTTTTATTATTATGGAGGGGAGAATTATATCTTTTCAGATTAGATGGACAAAGAAATAATAAGACTTCAAGCATAATTTGTATTATCATTGACTGAATGCTTTTGCTTTTTTAAATGGCACTGAATTTTCATTGCACGTCTACTGTCGCTAATTGCGCTGTGCGGTTAAAATTTAAGGAGGGTGGTATTTTGTTTAATAATTGTCAAATTTTTGTGATTTATGCATATTTTTTGCGTAAGATTTAGACATATAGATGTAAATTTTTTGTAGTTTCTTTTTTCTTTTTTCGTTATAAACTCTTTGATCCTTTTGTTTGGCGTCACTTCAAAAGTGTTATCAGAGCTGTTGCAATCCTGTGTAGTGTTAACCTCATTTATGGCTTTAACCAGACGAACTTGGCTGTTTGTCGCGAATCTGTCGCATAACAACCTTTTATCTTACATATGAATAATAAAAAGTCTTTCACCTACACCATTATTTTTACGTAATGTGATTGTGCATCCATTATTTTGTTGGCTTCGAATGAATGACGCTAACTCGGTTTACTGAATCGAAAGTAATTTTTCGGAATCTGTTAGCCGGTGCCGTTGGCGTTAAAATTTACCATTGGTATTGCTGAGGATAAAGTAAATATCTTTTTTTGCCATCTGGTCTTATCCCTAGTTTTCCACTAATTGGCCTTCGAAATTTACGTATGTAAGACTTTCTGAAGAATATATAGCTGTCAGAAAAAAGTTTAAATTACAGGGATTTTCGCGGAATAGTACTTATGAAACAGTTCTTGCTTGGTTAATTTCAGATTTATTGTATTAAAAAATTGAAAGCAGGTAAAGGAACAATTAATTAAATGCTGGAGTGTTTAAAGTGCCTTTTTTCATTTGGATATTTATAATTCTTTTGGTCACTCCAGACGTTTCTAAGCTTCAGTTCTGAAGTATTTAAAGCCATGTGTAGACCTCTAGTTAGAAGAGGAAAATGGCTGAAAAAAGTTTCATTCTTTTTTTTGCTGTTATTTCCTAAATTGGTTCTGCAAATAATCTTTAGAGGTTGTCGTTAAATTCTTTGGTGGTAGATGTGTTGTCCCAAAAAGTTACGAGTTATAATGCATTTATGTGGTTACTTAGCATTATGATAAATACCACTGCTGTAAACAACTCACCATTATTAGTTGTTGCAGATTAGAGAATGAACTGATTTGTTTGATCATTGAAATTTTTATAAAGGTGTCGTGTAAGTTGCTTCAAATGTTTTTTAAAGCGCTGCGGTTATTTTTAGTGACCGTTATGGTTGCTTAATGATGAAATACGTTATGCTGTTTTAATGCCGTCTCGTTGTTCTTGTATCTGTAAGTTGTTCTAGTTTAGTGCTGAATGACTGCTATAGCGCCTGCGCTGCAGGATAATTCATTTTCTAGTGGAAACAGGTTTGTTAGATTTCTTTTATCTTCCATTTATAACTTCTTTCTTTTAAATCACTATTAAACTCATCTGTTTCTCAATATCAAGTTATTCCTCTTTCATATGATTTTTTGTTGCCAATCGCTTTTTAAATAGCTTTGAAAATTTTGTTGTTTGCAGTGGGGTAGGTTTTCTGTCCAAATGAAAATGAAAATTGTTGAAAAGCTACTGCTTATTCAGTATTGAATGTATACATTTTAACCTTCTTTAGTTTACTTTTTTACTATTATCATTGAATTGTGTTTTATAAAATTGATATATTGTTTTCTTAGTTTAAATAGGTTTGTCAAACTTCCTGTATAAAAGATGAGGTTTGTCCGTAGGGAATCGTTAATAAAACAGACGCTACAGTCTGGGAAGTCTTTTGTACTTCAGTGTCTCATTAGATTTTCCAATATTCCCTTCAAGGATATGTCTGTAAATGTAAAATGTTAGTGAAAGGACTATTTTAAATGAAAAGGAATTGTAGTCGAAAAGACCACTAGTTTGCCGGAAGTATTGAAAAAAGATAAAGTTGCGATATGTGTTAAATATGGAATGCTAAATCGAAAATATCTTGAAAAAAGTTTCAAGGTTGCTACCCCGGACAAGAAGTCAAATAGTCTTTTGTCATCCCCTTGTTACGTAATTTTTGAAAGCCAGACGTAGATCTTGCGTGAGAGAGTTTCAGACCTGAATTTGTTCATTCGGATTTCAGAACTGATATAACATTAAAAACTTTGAGGCTTTCAAACTACCAGAAAATAATGGTGAAATACCTTATATTTTTCTAGTGTTTTTGTTGTATTTTTTTTGTTAGAGTTTAGCCAGCAGATATTTATAGCCCATTATTAGTAAATTACCAGAATAGCTGGTTCCAATCTGATGAAAGCACTGAAAAGGCATCGGATTTTTTTAAACTATGAGCGTTAATTTTCGGAAGCTAAGCTAGGTATAGTCATATTAACCTGAAGGTGTATTCTAATTACGTATTTTCTACTGGAGTAGTCCTTGCGCTAAATGACTTCTTAAAGAGTATTAATGGGCAAATGGAGATCTAAAATAGTCAATTTATGCGGGTTATTGGAACAGAAAATACTAATGTTTACCTTACTTAAACGAACTGTTTAATCAGTTTTGGCATCTGGTATCGTTGTTTACAGTTACAAATTTTGCATTGAGCGATTTATTTTAGTAAGTATAATGGACAAAACCATCTAAGAGAAGAAATGTCGGACGATGACGATAACACTCCTCTTGCTCTCAAGACAAAAAATAAAAAATTTTCGGTAAGTACTCAAATCATCTTTAACCTTTGGAAGTAGTTAATCATTTATTTTTTTATTAACCATTGTCTACATAATCGATCAAGTCTATTGAATGTTTTTTTGAAAAAAATCATTTTAAAAGTCACAAGTGGTGTTCATATTTTTTATAAATTTTGAGTAATCGTTGGCTGCTACCGTACATACGTTGACTACCCAGCAGATTATTTTTTATTGGTTTAATGATCCTTATTTTTATCTTCAGCCTAAGGGCAGCACGTTTGGGGCAGCGTTGGCAGCAACGGACAGTTCTTCCACCAGAACTGTGAAGAGGGAAGTAAAGGTTGAGGTGAAGAATGAGCCTTTGGCAAGCGATAGTGAAGACGACATTCCTTTGAGTTCACGTCTGAAAGGAAGTGCAAAAAAGCGTTCAAAGCCTGAGGATGATGACATAGACTATGAAGCCTCTCCTGCGGTATGTTTTCACTGGCTTACTTTTGTTTGATCATAATAATTAATATCTTTAAAATAATTTTAGAAGAAGAAGAAGAAGGAGAAGAAGAAAGAAAAGATTACCGTGAAAGAGGAAGTGACAACCTCTTCTAAAAAGGGTAAAAAGGATGAAAAAGTGGTTGTTAGGAAGAAGAAGGTTGAAGTCGAGGAGGAAGTTTGGAAATGGTTTGTTTTTTATTAGGAAATATTGGATAATAAGTCGTTTTTTTTATTTTTACTTTGAATTACATGTTTTCTCTGTTGTAGCGGTTATTTTATGCCTCAAGCTTTTTGTGCGTTTACTTTTTTCAACTTTCAGGTGGGAAGAAGAGAAGAAACCTGAAGGGATAAAGTGGAAGAGTTTATCACATAAAGGACCTTTGTTCGCACCACCTTACGTTCCTCTGCCGGATAGTGTGAAATTTAGTTATGATGGCAAGGTAGGTTAATTAGATTATCAATTTGGTACCAAGGGTTTTTTATTATTAGCTTATTTGTTGTGTTATAGGAACTGAAGTTATCTGAACTAGCTGAAGAAGTTGCTGGCTTCTATGCTCGCATGCTTGACCACGAATACACTTCAAAAGATATTTTTAATAATAATTTTTTCAAGGATTGGAGGAAGGCAAGTATCTTAGATTGTTTTGCCTAATTTTTAGTTTGGTGGAGAATTATTGAAGCAGTATGCGAAAATTTTACGTTTTTACTTGGGAAATCTGCTTTCTTTTGCTTTAAACAGTAGACTTAAGTTGTAGACGATTGCAGACTATGACGCCCAAAGAAAGGGAGATTATTACTGATTTGAAAAAGTGTGATTTTCGATCAATGCATGCATATTTTGTTGAAATGTCTGAGAAGAGGAAGGCGATGCCGAAAGAGGAGAAGCAGAAAATCAAGGAGGTGATTTGTTATGCTTCCTTTCAGGAACTGTAAAGTTCGGACGTGAAGTTAAGGACAGTTTTTTACTCTTTTTTAGGAGAAGGAGGCTGAAGCGAAAGAGTACGGTTTTGCTTATATTGATGGGCACAAACAAAAGATAGGGAATTTCCGCATAGAGCCACCTGGGTTATACCGAGGTAGGGGCGGCCACCCAAAAATGGGAAGGCTTAAACAGCGTGTGCAGCCTGAAGACGTCATTATCAATTGTTCTAAGTGAGTTGTAGCTATATTAGCTCTTAAGGTGGCATTTAATTGTCTTATTCAAGAAATCCATGAGCAGGATTTTTTTCGTTCTAGGGATTCGGAGATACCGGTACCTCCTGCTGGTCATCATTGGAAGGAGGTTAGGCATGATAATACAGTTACTTGGTTATGTTCTTGGACAGAGAACGTTTTAGGACAGAATAAGTACATCATGCTAAACCCTT